ATAATCCTATTGGAAAAGTCTTACACACGACCTGATTTTTCAAAGATCTCCTAGAAAACCTGTTTCAGAAAACTCTTCTGAAAATAATTTTGCTTGTGAAAATATGCCTCAAGTCTCCTCTTTCGCATGGCGAAAACCGGAGCTCTGAACAAAATATTTTCATTTTATTTTCATTTTTCCGAGAACAGGGTCCATTTGGACCCTGGTTGGTAGTACAAGGGTTAAAGAGTACAATTCCCCCAACTCATTTTTTAATTGCGTGAACATTTGGCACAAGGTGTTGTTGCTTCATAATGACCTTAAGTCCTTTTCTTCATAGTTTTAATCGAAGTTTCAATTTCTCTCTCAGAAAGAAACAGAGATGCCATTTGGTTAGACACGCGTGAAACTGTGGTCAAAAAAGTTCTTTTTCCTTTAGAAAATTTTGTTTTTCGCGAGAAATTTTTCAAAAATGTGGTCACCGTTCCTTATGGATTTCGTAACAGAGTCTTTAGTGAATTCTTATAAGAGCCTCATGCACAAGGTAGTCGTCTCATGTGCCGTTCTTATACAAGATCTTTGTAAGACTCTGATAAGTGTGGAGTAAGCATAAAATACAGATTCTTTCAGAATGTTACTATGAAAGTTAAAATAGGGTCAAATTGACATTGCTAGTAGATTCAACAAATTCAATAATCTCCAGGTACCATCACTCATAGTATAGGAATCGACAGAATTGCTCATTTATTTTTCTGAAAAACTGTTTACTTACCTCTCAGTGCATAAAGTAATTCTTCAACTAATATATAATTATACGATTGTGATGGAGACTCCATTGCTAATTTTAAATAATTAAGAAGTATCGATGTGATTTCAGCAGCATTATTTAATTCTTGTATTTTCTGGTCAGTTAAAATTCCAGCTAATATAAGATAAGATCCAATTTGAATTCGATGATAAACAACATTACGCAAATTCATAAATGTTGATAAAATGATTTCGTTATTTTTCATTACCAATAAAGTATTTGGATGATAAGATAAATTACATAAAATTCCTGTAACAATGTCTATCAGTTGTATTTCATAATTATATGTTGATGATTTAACTTTTTCTATTAAACTTGGAACTCTTATAATACTTGTTAAATAGTTAATAAGTGATAAATCTTGACATAAATCAGTTGAACAGGATTTACCAAGTGTTGCATGAAGTATAATAGTTAGAATACTTTCAGTAATCGATCTAATGATAGCTGATTTCCAGTTATTAATAAAAGGAATAAAATGATCTAAAATTTTTTTATATTTTTCTAGCATTTGTTTTATTAACCGACAATAAATTTCATCTTGATGTTTGCCTTCATAATTAACTAAACATGATGGACAAATAATCAATAAAAAATATTCATCAGGCTGTAATTGATCTGCTTGATAATTAAGATTCACAAACGTTTTATAATAATGTGGTGAACAAATACAATTTAACGTAGAATTCACTAATGAAATAAATTGTGAATCGTCCAGTGTTGATGACAACGACAAACATAAGTGTTTATAATTTAATGTAAGAAACAATTTATTAAATATTATCATAGTAGTTTTATCGTTTAAAAGTTGTTCATTTTTTGAAATATGATCAATACATGCAATAATCGACTGAATAAATTGTTCATTCAATATTAGTTTTTGAAAAAAACTAACATTTTTTTCAAGCATTATTTCAAATAATATTACTGCATCTCTATAATAATCAGATTCATTTACAGTTAACGTATTATTCTCATTCCATCTTAAAATGATGTCACGTAACTGATCACGCAGAAGTGCATAAAGTGTATGATTAGATAATAATTCATCAGTCAGTATTAAACCATCGATTTCAATTATAGATTTGATAATAGATAATAAGTGCCTTTCATCTCCAGCCACATTTTTTTCATTAGAAATGTCTTCTAGTTGTTCAATTAAATCATCATAAAATTGTTTTAACTCGATTGAATTAATTGTTAGCTTATTCTCTGTTATCTTAAGAACGGTTTGTTTTAAGTTATCACTCATTAGATCAAAATTTGACTCAGTAAACAGAATCGTGCGTATTGACACTGTCAGAAAAAATATGTTTGTACCTTTATACCAAAAGAAAATGCAAACGCTATATTATTTGCTGTAAAACCGAAAAAACCAAACGTTTTCTTTCTCTTTACCTGATACTGCTTCATGTTCGATACAACGCACACACATTGCATACTTTAGTGGATGCTTTTCACGACGCGTTTCGGATGACTGATCCAGGTTCGAAGCAAATTAAGTAAAATGGCAAATTTCCTCACTATAGAAAAGTTTAACAATTCACTAGTGAGGAAAAGGAACTACATTTTGAAAACTACCGACTTCATAGTCTTCATTAAAACGGTATAGTGTCGAATTAAATCAAATTAAACGATTTTATGATGGTTTAATTGAACAATCAGAACGCATTTCTAATGAAAAAAATGTGGCTGGAAAGAAAGGCCCTTATTACTACAATGCGAGATCATTGGTGCTTTTATACGCGTTATTAATTCGGGACGTTTTTGATTATGATCAAAAGCCCTTGTTGTACGATGATGCTTTGAAACAAACAACGAGGTCAAATACGCCATGTAATGGTGGGTGAGGGTGATTGAGGATCTCTTCTGGAAAAGTTTTCGAAATTAGTCAGTACCGACTATTTGCTGGTTCCCCCCATAAGCTACCAGGAAGGGTAACCGCTCTCTTATTTCGTTTGTTTTAATGGAGCTATAACTCTCTTCATTGCTAATTATTTATCCGTTATTTATATGTCAGTTTTAGAGAACCGAACTGATTTTCTACAGATCTCCTCAAATTTTTCCCAAATTCGTTTTCGCTTATGGAAATATAGCTTCAGTCCTTGGCCAGAATGATGAAAACCGCAACTCGCTAACTTTTATTCCTTTTGAGTTATTCAAAAAATATCCACCGGCCTGGTATTTTGAAACGGATAGTAATTTCGGAACCCTTTTCTTTCTGAATATTTTCACTGTAAAAAATAAAGTGTTGGCTTCGGTAACTTACTTTCTTGTGTGCAAATGTAGCACCTCAAGTCGTTAAGATCTACATTTTTGGTAAGCCGCTTAACATGTTTTTAATATCGTTGATAACAACTCATTGCCGATCACGGATCAAGTAGGATACGCCGCAATACTGAGAAAATACTGTACTTTCGACAGGTACAAGAAAGACACAGATGCGCTTTCAGGAAGAGAAATCCAGTTGAAGAAATAAGTGTATTATAAATCTTGGGTAAAGCTTTAAAAAATAGTAGCTAGACAAAAGAAATAAAACAGAAAAATATCACCTAATTAGATTTTTAACAGTACACCACGAGACTTGAACCTAACCAAAAAGATAAGCTAGAATAATATGCCACTCTAATTACCATATTTAGCTTGGAGGACGTCAAGAAAAGGCGACGAAATTAAATAAATGCGATATATTTACATGTGTACATTGAGAAAGAAAACAACCCGACGAATCAACCAGTAAATCAATCTTTCAATTGGGAATGAGCAAATATGCGCTGCTCGGCAAAGCTTGCTTTTTCCAATAGATTCTAGAATGCCCTATGGACGTTCAGCAGCATGTAGTGGAACATTTTGGCTATCGAGATGTGAATGTACTACGCACCGCTTTGTATCGCTTTCCAGATGACTCAAGCATCAAGGCAGCTTTCTATGGTAAGTTAAATGTTGTTTATTATTTAAAAATACTTTCAAGTTTTATGCCTGCTTCACCAAACAAACTCGACTTAGATTCTTTTCGCTTCAGTTGCAAGTATTATGATTCAGTTTTGAAGTATTATGATTTTTGGGAGTCCTATACCATATTTTAGCTTTCGGAACGTTTCGAGCAAGTCAAAACTCTTAGCTCGTTTTTCTGAAAAAACCACAAGTATTAGTCATTACTGTTCAAATAGTTTTCGGGCATCTCCAGTCGAGCTGCTGCCTAAGAAAAACATGGAAGACTCTGTACACTGGAGTCGCCAATTTTTTCGAATCGATCTGTCGGTGTTCAGATTATCAGCGCACTCTTCTATTTATCACTGTCTAAACTGGGAGAAGGTTAATTTGTATCTTTTTACCAAATGTGGGCCAGGATTAAGGGGAAACAGCTGATTTTGGGATTTTTCCGATTTTCATCGATTCTTGTCGATTTTGGTGATTTTCATCAAATGAAAATCATCGGAAATGACTGAAAGTCATTGAAAATCACAGAGAATAACAGAGGGTAACTGAGAATCACTGAATACAGTGAAAATCAATTGATTTTGGGTCATTTTCGACTTATTTTGGGCTGATTTCAGTCTGCCGTTTCCCCCTTGGTCAGGATGCATACTACATCTTCGTTTGATGTGTCGCATAGAATGGCCTTGGTGGAAATATATCAGTTTTCTCTTACTTTTTCTGGCCAAGCTTTGTGTGGCATGCACGGCTAGATATATCTATATGGGCTAGTTGTTTAGGATATTTAAACTCTTGGTGTACCAGACAATGTTGGAAGTGTTGTGCCTCCCGGTGTTAATAACCTGTTTTAAAACGATGAGATTTCTGAGATTAGTGAGAGTCATGTTAAGCATGATTTTGTAGATAAATATTATTTGCTGTATTTTATCAGCTGTGTCACAGATGGTATACCCGGTCTCGCTTGTACCTTCAGTGTGTTTGTCCGGCGACAGGCTTCAAGATGAGTACCTCATTCTGTAGTTTTTCTAATCGTTCAATGCTTGTTTTGCGTAGTATTGATATACAGAACTAGTCCATATTGCATAACAAGTGGAACGTAGGATGAATAAATTAGTCTCAATGCTGATCTAGCAAGTGTAAAACGTAACGTGGACGTTCAAGCGTTTACTAATTTTTTCTCTGATATAGTCAATTTGGTCATCCCATGTGAGATGCTAATCTAAGACAATTCCAGGTTGTTTAGGCTGATTTACTTGTTTAAACATATTATCGTTTAAGACAACTTGTGGAAAATTAGCCGGTCGCCTGCTGGATGAAAAGCTCAAGGAAAAGAAAAAATCGAGAAGCAATCTAGGTAAAACGGTACATTTAGCTAGCTTGAGCTACCTAAATGTACCGTTTTACCTAGGTTGCCCTGTGATAGCCCCTTTCCATCTCTCTCGTACTGAGACAAATTGGTGTCAATCGCATTGTGGTCTGTGCGATAGATACGACCGAAACCATTGTAGTAGAGATCCACTGGTTCCGGGCGGTTCCAGTTTAAGAAGTAAACCGTCGTAGCATACACGGCCGAGCACCTGAGTAATATCAACAAATATCTCTGGAATCGAATCACCGTCGTCAAGAGTTAATGATATGTCATGTGTGATAGAAGACAATTGGAAAAGGGTACTGTCTCCCTTTTTGAATTTAGACTGCGTGACGTAATAAAATTTTTTACAGGCCTTCCCGGACGGTCCAGTACACGACTTTTTCACGTATTTTAGATATTAAACTTAACAAAGTGATAAGTTTGTAGTTGCTTTTGATAGAAGAATCGCTTTATGAATAGCAACGGTCTCCTCGTATAATCGAGGATGGTATCTACAATCTAACAAGAAGTTTATTAGGGGAGTTTAGCAAGTCTGTTAGTCAGCACAGTGGTTTATTGCCCATGGCGTCTTGGATATCAACGTACGAACCAGATGTAGAACAATGTAGCAAACGAATGAAAGAAGATGAAGATCAAGTGTGTTATCCCGTTCAGTCACGAGATTTAAAAAATGCGTCTCATGAAACTATTACGCCAAATAAAGAAGTTATAACACTAATATGGATGGACGAAACCATTGATGACTTATATAAAGAAGATAGTAGATTAACAAAACAAATGTTACGCGAGATAAACGATTACGTCTTATTCTATAGTGACCTGTCATTATGTATTAGTTATATTCAGTCCATTAAAAATAATAAAATATTTCTCATTATACCCGGATCTTTGTCAAGAAAACTCTTCTCAGAAATTCATTCACTTCGACAAATTGATTCAATATTTATTTTCTGTGTTAACCAACAAGTTTACCAGACATTAACTAGTGAATACTCAAAAGTAATTGGAATATTTTCTGAACAAAATAGTTTAATGATATGTATTAAAGAGAATATTAAATTAGTGGAAAAACAATCTGAAATATTTAATTTGTACAATCAAAAACAAAAATCCACACGGGATTTAACAACAGAATCTGGATCATTTTTATATGTTCAGCTATTCAAAAATGTTCTATTGAAAACGCCGCAAACAATCGATACAAAAAAACAAATGTTAGATGAATGTCGTTTATACTATCGTGGAAACAAAAAAGAACTGAGCAATATTGAAGAATTTCGATCTAGTTACACAGCAAAGGATGCCATTAAATGGTACACAAAACAAACATTTGTTTATAAACTATTAAATAAAGCATTTAGAACTGAAGATTTTGAAGCAGTGTATTCATTTCGATTTTATATTTTTGATCTTTGTGCAAGTATTGTTAAAAAACATAAAGAACTGAAAACACGACAAAAGTCTACTCTTAAACTTTATCGTGGTTTGAAAATGTCAGTTGATGAAATTCAAAAATTGAAAGATAATATCGGTAGTTTAATAGCAACAAATGGATTTCTGTCTACAAGCCGATCGTTTAATGTAGCGAAAATGTATACATCTAATGTTATGTTTGAAATTTTAGCGGATACTGGATTAAAAACAGTTGCGTGTGCAGATATTGCCGAAATAAGCACGTTTTCAAATGAAGAGGAAATATTATTTGACTTAGGTGCGACGTTTATAGTAGAAAGTGTCGGCTATGACAAAGGTGAAAAGTTATGGAGTGTTAAGATGACAGCAACAGACAAAGGGGCCGAAATTGCTAAAGAATATATAGAACACCAAAGAAAAGAATTATCAAAAACGGATGTGAGCGATGCATTTGGTAGTTTTCTGAGTGATATGGGTGAATATACGAAATCAGAAAAATATTTTAAAAATTTGTTACAAATTCATCCAAATGATGAACACACCGCTATTCTATACTCTAATATTGGTCGGGCACTTGGCCAAAAAGGAGATTACACAGAAGCATTAAGACGCTATACATATGCACACGATATCGAAATGAATGTTTCAAGGCCGCGTCTTAAACATATAGCTGGTTCTTTACTTGGTATTGCAACTATTCATAACTGGACTGGCAAGAACGATTTAGCATTGGAATTCTATAATAAAGCTTTAGACACATATAAAAAGGTTCCCAAAGTTGATCAACAAGATATCGCTTATACTATCAACAACATTGGCATTGTTTACTATGATAAAGGTGATTATGATCAATCACTTGAATATTCACTTAAAGCATTGAAAATGCGAGAAACATTTTTACCTGATGATCATCCTGACATTGCATTAAGTTTGAATAATATTAGTAATGCTTATATTGAAAAAGGTAATTATGATTTAGCTTTAGAATATTACAAAAAGGCTTTGAGAATAAACGAAAAACTTTTGCCATCTAATCATCCTGAAATCGGTGCTACTTTGAACAATATCGGGAATGTTTATCATAAGGAATGTGATTATCATCGAGCATTAGAATATCACACCAAAGCGTTAATTATCCGTGAAAAAAGTTTACCAACCGATCATTTTGATATAGCTGATAGTTTCTATAATATTGGAATGATTTTTCATGAAAAACATGATTATGGTTTAGCACTTGCATATTATACTAAAGCTTTAAGAATTTACGAAAGAATTCTGCCAGCTGACCATCCGCATATAATGGGTAGCCTTCGCAATATCGGCATCGTTCATAGTCGCGATGGTAATAGCGATCTGGCACAAGACTTTTATACCAAAGCATTGAAAATTGGAGAAAAAATTCTGCCATCAAATCACTTAGATCTAATTCACATTCAGAATCTTATTACTAATAAATGACATAACGAGATTTGTCAGAACATTGCTTGACACTGAACTCTATCTTTCAACCCGACTTGAATCTTTAATATCGGGTGCTGTTAGCGAAACCGTCCGTCATCGCTAACCATAACATGTGCATAGTGATGTTTTATTCTTTTTTCTGTTCATCTCATTTATTTACCCGTAACTTATTCACTCTTGTACATATATATATGTACGTACAATTCATATACACGTGCATATATATGTACATGTACATTAGTCCGCCGTTCTTTTCTCTTTGTTTTCATTTATATATATATATACACGTGTTTATTCATTTTGTATTCACAGTTATCTTACTCTATTTCATAATAAAGAGACATATCTATCGAGATCAGTTAAGTGAATATTCTGTTAAGTAAGTTGGTTGTTGTATTATACATCAACAGGTGCATCAATAAGAAAAAAATTCATTGAAAATAGCCTCGCATACGTTATTAGGCGTTTTGATCTTAAAATAGCTTTTTCTCAGGTCCATTATGTCTCCTTGTAAAAATAAGATAATATCTTTGATCCTCGGATAAAGCAAAATCGAATGATACGTTAAAACGTATAACGTCATTTATACGTGCTTCATGTAAAACAATTAATGCTTCAACTGATGATGCAGATAAACGACTACATTTTTCAGCTACAATATTACTTCCAGAAGAAAAAATGTCTTTCCGATTCCTCAGCGGAACCTTGGTTGATAGAAATTAGGTATAGGATGAATCAAGCGCGCGTAGCTCGAACAGAAGAACATGAGAAGACATGAGCGCGCTCGTCCTTGAGCGCATTTTACACGAGCGCCTGCAATATATCTTTTATACAAATATATTTTTTGTTTGCATAATAAGTAAACAGCTGTTTACACAACAAGTAAACAATTGTTTAAACATTTTTTGTGCAAAACTATACAGAATTTATTTAAATTAGGAATGACATGCTCCCAGATCAGAAGCGAAAAAGTCGGTCCTATATATCCAGTCATATAGGACATATAAGGATATATCACATTCTGTTTGAAGAAAATGATGTATCATGATGTATCTTTTTCTTACGATGAACTCGAAAAAAGATATATCATTGACTTTGAATAACACGAAGCGATATGTCATGATGTATCGTACATTGTATCCTAAAAGAAACAAATATCATTTTCTATCCTTTTCTTTAAAAATTTTTGACTGGGTAGAGCTATTTACAAAGCGCAAAATCAATCTTTTTACGAAGGCAGTTTTCAACGAGCAGATCACCAGTCAAAACCTGTGATGGCTACACAGCTACTTAAGTCTAAAAGATAGTTAACTCTATATAGACTTAACTCTTCCGTTTGAACAAACATTTTTTCAGCTCTTATTTCGTAGTTTGCTGTAAGTTTTAGCTATAACAGAATCAAACGAAAAAATCGTGTTTTTTCTTACGAACCTATTTTGTAACTAGTATCTGAATCCCCGTGCATAGTACAGAAACTCATTTATATCAAAATTTATAGTAGAGATGGCGTTCGTAAGAAACCACCAGAGATCATCACGAACCGGGAAAACCTACGGGGATCCACGGGCCGGGCCAATCTTTTTGCAACTTCTTTACGAGCCGGACTGGACCAGGCTGCAATTTGACAGTCCGCATGTGGACCACCATCTCTACGTAACAAATATCGGGACTAGAGTCCTGCAGGTTGACCCTAACCTGACCTAACCTAACCCATACTAACCTATAGGTTAGGTTAGGATTAGGTTGCAAAAGTTATAGGTTAGGTTATAGGTTGCTCTATTTTTTTTCCAGTGGTTGTTACTTCTGCTCAAATGAAAACCTTTTTCTGATTTTCTGAGTAGAGATTAAGCTTTTTTGCAAAAGTATTATTCTTTTTAACTGTTACAAAAAATTCCTCAGCTAGAAAGTAGGAGGCATGTGCGTCTACTCCGGAATTTTTGGATGAAACAGCCATATCTTCACCAAAGTTTACTGTCGCGTCTGCTTCGCTGCAGAATTTCGCCGTCGGGCAACTGACTGCTGTTGGCCGCGTCGCCATTTTCTACGTATATCCCGTTACGGTCGCCCTTGGCTTTCATAATTGCTTCATAATCGAGCGCATTTTAGAAAGATTTGAACATTTGCTCGTGATGCCAGTTTTCTTTCTCGGGCTCTCAACTTGGCTGCTTCACCACTTCATTTTGTAGATGAAAAGTAGATGAAATAAATAACGGGAAAAACTTCGGTTTGTGTTCGTGCTTTATTAAATCTTTTTTGTTCTTTCGCGTTTTCTTTAAAAAAGCGAAAGTCGGAAAACGTTTTCTTGGGCTTCCTCTCTTCTATATACAACCTAACTCGTTTGAATAGTGCTTCACCGAGATTCTCAGCGCTACAATGAACGTCGAATCATGAAAGACATATTTTCAAGTATAATCGTTTTAAGAAGAGCGATTTAACGAGTTGCTAACTTACAAGAAATCCTAGCGATCGTGCTGCAATAACACGGCTGACGGCGAGAAGTTCCGATAATCGCCATTTTATGGTCGATCGCGAAAACAGTAGCTGGTTTTGCGAGCATGCTAGTGATCACCTTGTGAGTCTCTAGAACTACTTTTTATAGTGAGACGTGGCAAACTTTTAGTAGAAGAGCCGATCAAAGCAGCACTGCACGCATCTTCCCTCTTATGTTAACAAAGTCTATACATCAGTTTTATATGGTCCGAAAAAGCACGAAGAACACCTGTGGCGGGAAATGAGAAAGAGATCCATAATTTAACAGAGAACGTCGGGTGGCAAAGCTGAGTACACACCAGAGCTCCGTATGGACTGGACTGGACCCAGATTTTTTAGATGTCATGGACGCGGACTGGACTGGACTAGACTTTTTTAGTCCATGGACTGGACTGGACTCAAAAATTTGAGTCCATACGGAGCTCCAGTACATACAGACAATTTTTGGTGGCGATCTGAGATATCATCGAAAGAACGCGTCAAGTCTTCAACCAGCTCCGCTCTATGCGGGTGTAGGACAGAACTTCCGCAAAACGGTTTTCGATGAAACTCGATGTTTTTGGTGTATTGTTCTATAAACCGATGATTATTAAAGCTAGAAAGCTCGCTTTTTAGTGAATCAACGGTATGCATAAAAGGTTGCGTTCCTTCAATTGCTTACAAAACGAGCAGACATTATAGAAAGTTTGTTGCACAATGCCCAAAGAAGGCATCTTTTTCGAATTGCTAACAAATGTAGTTTGTAAACTTTATAGTGACTTGATGATCAAAAATGAAAAAAATAGATGTTGTATAGTATGTGTTTGGCCATGAAAAAATTATTTGTTTTTGTTCCATCGAATAATAAACAAATTTCAGAGTGCATCAGCACTTGATTACAATTTTCAATAGATGGAACGAGAGAAAGATCAAAACAAAACATTAAAATATTTTGTTCATTTTTCTGTTTTGTACTTTTTATAGCTTTTGAAAACAAAAAATGAATAAAAAACAAATTCAGTACAACTTCCTATCGGCACAATTCTTTGCTTTCTAAATGGAGAGATAGAGTGATGATTAATGATTTGTGATAGCTATACAATGGCTAGATAATTTTCCAATTTTAGATAATGCCAAATATTTGTTAAATTCATGACGGTTTTCTTTTGATCAAACTAATAGTTGTTCGTTTTTATTCTATATTCGTTTTAGGAATAGGGATAACACTTTCCCTTTATCGTTACTGTAATGGGTAACTCACCCGAATCTCGTATGATTCGTAAAACTTTACTAATTGTTCTAGCAATTACACTTTTTCCGGTTCCTGCTCGCCCAAACAGAAGTAGGTTTTTCGAATGCTTTAAAAAAATAGTTTTATCAACAAAACCTGATGAATATAAAGGTGATAACAAGCCATCCCCAAATATTAATTCAAATACATGATCGTATCCACCCACTACCTCACTCATCTTTTGATTACTCAATTTTTGATTATGGCAACCAGCCGTCAGGCGTCCATTTCAGTAGGGGCCATGGTAATAAATATTGAGCATCAAGCATGTTCCAGATTTTGCGGCAGATAGCGATTGCATACAATTAAATCGAGCATTATCAAATGTTTCAGCTTGTATCCAACCTCTCCAAACACCTTCGAACAAACAATATTCATATAGATATGATCGAAATAAATTGTCGTGCGATTTAACAGTGGCAATCATCAAAACATTTTCTACTAATCCTCGGCCAATAGCTTCGATGTAGAGCAAATCATAACTACGTGTCGGCGGTAGATGATTTATGGGTGCTATTCTGGCAAGGTGAATTATACTTTTCAATCATTCACGTAAAATTAATCCGAACTGTTCTGTTATCAATAACTGTGGTAAGTTTCGATATTGAGTTGAGTGTCTTCTCGATGCAATGTGCTCCTGAAATAGTATAATAATACTTTTTTACGTATACAATGTAAAAGATATTCAGTATTCAACTCATGCCAATCGATGTCGAATTGAGCTTGTATAAACATTAGACACCAAACGATATTTATACTGTCCTCATGCCGTTTCATTAGCGATACTACATAGTTTGTCCATTCTTCGAATGATCGATGTCGAACCTCGAATATCGGTGCAGGTACATGCGAGCGAATAATTTTGATGGAGACTGGCAATCATAATTACGTTTAACCATCCATCACATTCTAATTTTGCATGATAATAACATTACAATGCTAATGGATAGTTAGTTACTTGCTGGAAAAAATTTCTCCCCATTCCGATGGCAAAAGGATGTCAAACTTTCTGCTGTGTAATAGTGGATAAGATTGAGATACACGGCAAGATGCTCGCTATACCGACTTTCAATCATTCTTTGAAGACACTCGCATATAAGTGCATCGGCAACAGTTACTTTCTCAACGATACATAGCCTGCAAATTTTGACTGGCGCAACATAACCCAAATGAGGAATCATTTTCAATAATTGACAGTCTGGACACTGCATTTTCCCACACATTCAACAATGATTTC